AAACGCAGCACATCCCCAACTTCCTCCGTGCGGCGGGTTCATGAATCAGCCCGGTTGCGTAACCGCCGCCGTGCCTTTCATTATTCACCAGCGAGTCCCCGCGACACACACACACACACGCACGCACGCACCCACACACACCAGTCAGCTCCTTGTGCTGCGGCCAGCAAACTAAACAAAACGCCAGAAGTAGCGCCTTGAATCCGGCCTCGCGCCAGTCAAGTGAGTACTTGTAGGCGGACTGCCTGCGCTCTTGTTACCTCCCCAGGGACTGGGGAGGGCTCATCCCCGCCCCCCCCTTCCAAGCAGCTGCCACGGAGCTTTGAAATACTTTCAAAGTGCAACTCACGATCTGAATCATCGAGCAAGGCTGGGCCTCCGCGTGCGTGACTGAATGCCGCCCGGTGCTTCCGGGGTCAACTGCAAATCCGAAAAAAAACGAATCTGAAAAATGCTGCCACAACAGGCAGACGCATTGCTGACATCAGCGCATCGGTTGGGGCGGCAAGACCCAGTGTGCCGTTTCTAACGGCAAGACAACGCAAAGCGGAAGCGAACGGTGAGCCCACATCCGCAGCCCGGGGGAAATAAAGCGAGCGGGTGTCTGCACACGGGCTCACCCAACCGCACGCGGCTGATGTAAACAGCTACTTCCACATTGAGCGCGCAGCCGCGCACCGACACGGGAAAACCATTTGTCACCATCCAATATTCCATCGATGTAATCGAGTCATCGGAACAAAATTGAGTTTGCGTGATTCCGCGCCAAAATGTGCACGTGAGACGCAGCTATTGTTGTCGTCCACGTGAGGTTTCCGTCGTCGCGTTCTACACTGTCGTATCTGTGAATTTGTGTGTGCGCGGCTTTAAAAGGTTGGGCCCGGCCTGGTGAGTGACGTGGGAGTCAGCGAATGAGCTTGAGATGAGGTGAGCGGCTAACCGTTAGCTCATTAAATGCCTGGGCGTCGGTTTGCGGCCGTAGCAGCGCGAGCGAATGCGCTTATACGCGTGACCGTCCGTCGGGGATCGAAATAAGTCCTAATTGGTGAAGCGATGTCAAATTAGCTCGCATCCATACAGTGTCTTGGCGATCGTAGACGTACTGTTGTGGTCTGTTAGTTCTGCTTTGGGGTCAAACTTGTCGACTGTGAAAGCACATCCAAGTTTTTGGGGGCTATCCGAAGCTAATTTAGCATTTTTATTGTTATTGTTCGTCAGCTCACAACGGTAGCAAAGCTACAATCGCATAAACATCGAGCCGATCCAATTTAATGTGTTTTGTTCTGTTTCTTATTCTCAGTACGAACTATGTAAGATTGAGAAGGACTATTTTGAAAAGTTTGTTCTCAAAACAGATATTGCATATAACTGACCCTAAAAACTCATTTTTGGCACTTCAGAAATTGCATTTAGCCAGTCTATTTTTCCAAAGCTCTCTGTACTTCTATTGAAATAGAGAGGAAGAGTATTTCAGCCATTTTTCCACCAGTTGTTTTGTTTTTTTAATTAACTCTGGCAGTGAAAAAGCAATTTCTTGTGCAGAAAAACAAACTTCCTCTGCTGGAATGGATGTTTTTGTTTTTTTTTTAAATAATAATAATTTCACACTGTACGAACATGAGTATGGACATTGTTATCATTTCATAAGAAAATGCTGCACCTTGTCCGCTGTGAATTCCAAACATGAGCATCACTATCAAAGTCAGTCCGGGAGCAAAGACATTCGATACGGCGGCGTCTACAGGAGAGCCTTGATGATTCGTCCAGCCTGAGGATGGACGGCGCGTCTGCTCATCAAACGGCAACCGCGCATGTGCCTACAAGGCCCAAGCTTTGTTTGCCTCTCGCCGGAAGCGTATCTTCTTTGTGCGCGCGTGTACAACCTTTGACCTTGTTGGAGCTGAGAAGTTGCCGCCAGGGAGGGAGAAAGGCAGGAAGGAGGGGAAGATTGTTCTTTCTTTATTTATTATGATCGGGAACACTTCTGGGCTTTTTCATTAGCCCCTCAAATCACCGTGAACACAAAGACCAAGTCCACCAGCAAACGATCCAAACCAAGAATACCGTCAAAAATAACAATCAGCTTGTGTGCTTTGCCTCTTGGTCCCCATAGGATGGACACCTGGCTCGCAAGGCACAGATGGTCATAATTAGCCGAGGACGGCGGGTGTTGCTTTAGCTCGCACCGGAGCCGGAGATTCATTTCAGTCAACCTGGAAGACGTAATCCTCTTTTTGCGCATGGCCGTGACACAGTAGTCCGCCTTCATCCAATCGCGCGATGACGCTTTCGTCACCGACAGCCAAACGAAACTGGGCTACACGCAAACTTACAATCGGGGCCAAATGTGAGCGTTTTCCTCAAATCAAAGATGCAACAATGAATGGATTACTCAACAACTAATTGGTTAGCAAATTCATCTGCAACTATTTTGAGAATCGATTAACAGCTGAGAGGCGTTGTTTCATGTAAAATTATCCAAATCCTCTCAATTCCAGCCCCAAAAACAATTCTTCTCCGATAAATGTAATGGTCAAAGAGAGACAAGAACGTTTGGTTTCGTTTTTTTTTTTTTTTTTTACACTTTGGAAAAATATTATCAATATTTTTGGCCAATTTCTGATGTGAAATGGAAAAAAATCCGTTGTTCATTATCAGTCAATTTGAAATATTGGAGTGTTTCTAAATAAAGAGATAAACAAACATATTTAATCCAATTTATCGATAGATAGATAGATAGATAGATAGATAGATAGATAGATAGATAGATGGATAATCCACAGATTAATCGATTCTGAAAGTAATCATTTGTTGTAGTCCGATTATAAATCTTTGTTCAGGCATTTATTTGGTGCCTGTGCTGTAGACAAAAATAACCTTCCCACTGAATGATGACAGTGAAGTTCACAACATCCGGCCATCATCAGTTCACTTCGCAACGAAAGGACAGATTATCTCTTGTGTTTTGTGCTTGCATTTTGCGTACCTTGTCAATCTACTGTTTTTGATTTTGTTTATTTTCTCACAGGAGTCCCAAGAAAGTCATGTGGAGTGGACTGGGCGAAGTAGTACGAGCATAAGTACTTTTATTTTTCAGAGTGGGGTGGGCAGAATGACCCATCCACTCACGAAGGGGCCACTATTGGCCACTTAGCTCCGCCTCTGCTTTTGCGATCTGAACAATAATGAAGTAGCAGATGCGAATAACGCTCCTTACGCTCACCACGAACGTAAAAATAATGACTTAACGTGGCCAAAACGACAAAAAAAAATACGGGGTTATAACTATAATTTGATACAGTACAATACCGTATGTTCGCTGGCTATTCTTAATAAAAATCACGTTCCGAAATAAGGTTGTGTGTCCCCCGCCCCATTCATTTTAATGTTGTAAATCTTTTGGAGATAAGATTGATTTCAGTGACAATATTCTGAAAGAAAGCAATCGTGGTGAAGCGTCTGCTCGACTAGGGGTGGAACCCCGATCCCGGAGGCGACAAAACAAAAGGCGAAAAAGGCTAACTTGAAACTTGAACTTACCTGCGTGTGTAATGTCGGATAGGTCATAGTTCTTGGCGCTGCGGGGGAACTCTCGGAGTTTTCGGTTGGCCAAGTTGAGAGCCCCGCTGGCGGCGGCGTCCTCCAAGGCTTTCTCCACACTCCGGCTGGCCGCGACTGTGGCCGGCAGCTGGGCTCCATCCCCAGCCTCCATCAAACAACACTCGAGTCGGGAGTCCGTTCCTTACTTTGTTGCCGGCGTCCGCGTCACGCTCCCGGCGCCACGCCGTCTCCTTTATTTCTCCCGAAATACAAAAACCTACGAGCGGGTGACCATGGTGGCGAAAACGGAACGAAAAAGTGTTGGGAGGTTCGTCGTGGCCGTCACACATGAACGGCGTTCGCTCGCGTCAGCTCACGGTTTGGAGATTGGGCTCAAGCTGTCAAGTTTACAGGAAGTGGCGTCGAGCGCGCCAGTGGCGCAACAATCACACCGGGGACCGGCGTTTTCTTACACAATTAAAGCTAAACAACTCGTGCACTCAAAGAGCAATGACATCCAGCGGGCCGCATTCTGTCCCACGTCAAGGCTCTACTCGCATAGCTGTCCAACCGTCTTGTGTTTTGACCGCAAAGTGTGTTGTGCGCGAACTGGGGGTCGTTTGGACATGTTTTACTTTGACAGTTGTAACCCAGCACTCCCAAAAAGACGTGCAATTGTCGGGGCGGAACCTTCGACGATCTATGGTGGCCGGGAATGGTCAAACAACATTAAGAAATAGTCATTAGTCCCAAATCAACAGATACAATTACTGGACTGTACTGTCCTGAAAAGGGTCGAAAAAAAGGCTCACACATACACACACACACACACATACACACACACTAACATACACACAACTATAATCTAATACAATGATACAATCCCCCAATTCTTGGTTTAGTTTAAATTCCCTTCATGACATGTTTATCAACCAGCCTCTTCGATTTGCAACATGTTAAAGTTTACTTTCCAAACTTAGAAACTTAGACATCATTGTTTGAACATTCTAAGAAAAAGGCAAAAGTGCGGGGATGTTGCATGCTATGTAACATTCAATTAAAAATGTTGAAAATGAATACAGTGTAGTTACATTACTTACTAAGTTTTCGCCAGTAAATTGAATTCTGCAAAATTACAATAAAGGCCTCGTAGAAATTTTAATATATCACTTCTGACTTGTTCTTATCATTATTTGAACTTCCAAAACAAACGAAACAAAATGTGCATTCTCAGGTACAGCAGGTCACAGGGGTGAGGTAACTGCAATTTTAATGGAATGCTGATCGGCCGTTGGGAGTGGGGAAAAAAATGGCCAAAGCCGAATATCGTCCCGGTAATCGGTCTTTCACTGTGACGTATGCCTCGGGTGGCATTTTGAGCTGACTTTGGGCAAGGGGCAACTTCTACCCAAGTTTGACTGCCAGCTCATCACAGAGCACCTGAAACAAATATGATTTCTCGACGTGCCCTGCTGGAGACAAGTCCAGCGTTGACTTCCCCATCCGCCTTGGCCAAAACGTGCGTCCTAATGAGGAAAAACGCGATGGATAAATGTCCACACATGCAAATCCATTGTTAGCAGGACAGCATTGTTGCCTCCATTAATGTTGACTATCTTCTCTCTTTCAGTACCAGATGACTGACACCCACACCCACGCCCACACCCACACCCACAAACCACATCTATTTGCATTGTCCTCTTCATCCAGCCCACTCTTTCGCCCTCGTAGCCTCCCTTCCTCCCACCCCTGCAACCCCATTGGACCATCTGTCAAAGTGCTGCAGGACCCCCGGCTGCAACTGGGACTAATGTGCACGTAAGTTGGGAGGGGGTCCACGCCTATGTAAAATCCCTTCCGAGTCACGGATCATCTCGTTCTGTCTACTACACGTCTAAGGCAATCTGGGACAATAATGCCGACCCAACACACTTGGTGAGAAATGTTTCGACATTGTCCCTCTCCGAATGCGGACTTCAAACTTGGTGTACAGGCGGTCGATGAGGAAATGCAGTGGCTGAAGGAAGTTTTTTTCTCACTGTGCGTGATGTCTTCTATTGGGTCGCCCTGGAGGCCCGGCGCAGAAAGGCTCGGACTTTCTCACGCTCTTTGCGCATCCCTTCTTCCTCTGGGCTCTCAATGTCACTTCCTCTTGCATCCTCCGGAAGGGATTGTGTCAGAGTGGCGTCTTGAACTACTTACAAGTGCGGTGCATAACCCAGCACACTGGGTTGATGGTGGCGCGGTGGATGAAGATTTGGATCCAACGAGAGGGGAAAGACTACTCAAACCGATGAGTTAAAGTCATCAAGAATCGGGTCACTGCGATATTGGTTATAGCTGCGGTTAAAATGAAGCCAATGTTCATGACCGATGTTTTCTAAGAAGAACCCAACCTTCGGTAAAATTAACTCCATCTCCTCAAAATTCGCAGCGACACGGCGAGTGGGTTGGACAAACGAGCCGGCAGTTTTCCGTGAGCGACAGCAGCAGCGCGCAGGAGACGTTCTCGGGGTCAAGGGAGAAAGTGACTGTTGCAAGAATGAGCGGCACGTGACTTATGCTGACCGGCTCCAACAACTGCTGTGCATGTGGCGCAGCAAGCACACACAACGGCATTTAAACTGTCTCCGAATCTGGACACATTTTTATTCTCACGTATCTGTGAAACAACCAAATAAATAAACATCAATGCTTGTTTGGTATCAGGTGAAATAAAGCGAACCCCAGAAGATCTGTTTTGAATAAGCTCGTTTTCATTTGCTTTTCAATGCCGGTATTCATTGAGTGATTCTTAGAATCCAATACAAAACACCTTTATTGACATGGCGCAATTTACAACAGCGGTAACAAAAGCACTTGGCATATAACGTGAAATAAGAATTATAGCACAACCGAAGATAGTGACAACGGTGAATTAAAACACCAATGAATGATACTGACACATATGCAGTAGACACCAGCAAACAAGACAACGGTGTCAGTCTCATTTGGGGTCGAAAGCCAAGGAATAAAGATGTGTCTTCAAACGTCTTGAAAACATGAGCAGGGAGGAGCATTGCCTAACACTGAACTGAAGGTCATTCCAGAGGGAAGGACCGGCGGCGGAAAAGCCTCCATCCCCTCGAAGCCTCCGCTTTGTTCTCGCTACCTCTACTAGTGTGTGGTCCGCAGACCGGAGGGACCGCCCCGGTGCGAAGGGGTGGAGGAGCCCGGAGAGGTCAAATGCGGCGAGGCCATGTCAAGATTTGAACAATCTTAAAATGAACTCAAAAATGTACAGAGAGCCAGCGAAGGGATGCCAGAGTAGGAGTTAAGTGGATACGAGTACCAGTCAAGAAGCGAGCAGCAGCATTCTGGACCAACTGCAAATGCTTCGTGGAGGACTGGCTGACTCCAAAGTAAACTGTGTGACAGTAATCCTACGAGGATGAATGATTGTTTCAAAGTGCTCTTGAGACAGGAGGGGCTTGACTTGAGCCAGCTGACGAAGATGAAAGAAGCTGGATTCGACAACGGCAGTCATTTGCCGCTCCAATTTAAAAATCACTGCCCAGTTGAAGACCCAAGCTCCAGACTGCTAGGGGGTGGGATCTACAACTGCCGTGAGGACCAAACATCTTAACTTCTCTTTTCGTTGAAATTTTAAGAAATTCTGTGACATCCACACTATGATATTCTCTCTCTCTCTCTCTCTCTCTCTCTCTCTCTCTCTCTCTCTCTCTCTCTCTCTCTCTCGCTTTCTCTCTCTCACAGACACAATTTTAAGAGGTCACTGGACATTGAACATTGAGCTTTTACTACCATCGTGTGGCTATTTTATAGATTTCAGATGGTGCACCAGGAGTGCGTAAATTTTTATGACGGAGCGTCACATTCGGTCAGGTTAAAAAAAGGCCACCTGTGCAGATAAAACATGTAAAATAATAAATTCTAGAAACAAAATCACTTTGCAATCTGATTGATTACAGTTAATAAAACAATTACTTTATAAATACTAATGCAATTTGATTGTTTTTAAAAGAAATCACCAAATGATTTATAGTGACATAATCCACCCATCCATCCATTTTCCGATCTGCTTCTCCTCAGGAGGGTCGCGGGGCGTGCCAGAGCCTCTCCCAGCTGTCTTCAGGCAGTTGGAGGGGGACACCCTGAACTGGTTGCCACCCAATCGTGGGGCACACATAGACGAACAACCATACGCGCTCAAACTCGCAGCAACGGACAATATAACTTGCCACCGATGTTTGGAGGAAACCGGAGTACCAGAGAAAACCCATCCAGGCACGGGGAGAACATGCAAACTCCACACAGGGAGGCCAGAGCCGGAATCGAACCCTACACCTCTGCTAGTGAGATAATACAAAATAAATGGCTAAAAACATACAATAATTTCTTATGCAGATAAAACAGTCTAAGTTCGCCTGACCTCCGCACAGTCACCCAGGTACGGTGTCATTGTTGTCCAGTGCCCACGCTGTCATTTCATTTTAAGACTAGAAAAACCGCCGCTCGAATTTTCTCTTTTCGATTTCGTTCAAATGAAAATTACATTTGAGAAGCTAGTGCCGATGGGATTCAATTGTGCGTTTCACATTAAAGTTCCACAAACAACAATCCAGCGTTTGACAACGGCTAAAACTACATTACCCATAATGACTCAGGAAAGGAAACGAGTCTCTTTTTCCCGCAAAACTTAATCTTGTCCCGCTGATTGGCTGAATGACCTTCATTGTACAATATGATTGGCATAAACTTGTCCTGGTTGCGAACCCGGATGTAACTTGGCTATATAACAAGGGACAATTGTAGGCGGGATTGTAGTTCAAACCGTCCGTTGAGATATTGGGGCTTATTTTTTTAGTTAGCTTTTGTGCTCCAGCGGCCCGGAACTATTCGAAGAATTAAATATGGTAAGTTCGTCTTACTTTCTGTGTGAGCCACCGAGGTGCGTTTTTTTAACGCTTCTCCTAAACCTCGCTTTAGAATCCGCGCCGATGCATTTGTATTCCGCGAGACTAGTTCCACTTAGCTTAGCATACTTAGCTTAGCTTCGATTTTGCGAGTGAGCCATACAAATATGGCGCTAAAACTCGCCACTGGCCGTTTGGTTCCATTTCTACCGAGTGGCGTCAGCTCGTGAATGCGGGCTTGCTTGCTTGTTTGCTCCCACCCGTAGGCTGGTGGCAAGGCGGGCAAAGACTCCGGAAAGACCAAGACGAAGGCGATTTCGCGCTCTCAGCGAGCCGGATTGCAGGTTCGTTCGCCATTCATTTGTTCCGCCAGACTCTCATCGGGCTCCAAAGTCACTTCCTCCCGTCATTTCGCTCCTTAGTTCCCGGTGGGACGTATCCACAGGCACCTCAAATCCAGGACTACCAGTCATGGCAGGGTTGGAGCCACTGCAGCCGTGTACAGTGCGGCTATCCTTGAATACCTCACCGCCGAGGTAACTGTACCCCGTTTGGTTTCGAACTGCGCTTTAGAAATGGACCGATTGGAGGGAAGGATTACACAAGGATGTGATGGTGGGATCAGAGGAAACACGGGCGTCGTTCGTGATGATGGCATGAAAAGGAGAGGTACGAGCATATGACGGGGCTAAGAACAAAACTGCAGCGAAAGGACGCGTGGAAGAGAAGTGTTGTCTGAAATTAAGGGTGCATTGAAGGGTGGGCTGGAAGGATGTTTACCTGGGGATGGGTGGAAGTAATTGAGTGGTAACAATCACGTATGTGCCATTGGAGGAAAGAAATGTGGACTGTCAGGGAGGAAATGTGGAAGGAAACGAGGATGTATGTAGTAAGGAAGAAAATGATATAAGATGAGAAGGGATGGAAGAAAGTTGCAAAAAGTACAACCAATGTAAGAGAGATAACAAGGAGAGGGATGGAAGGGAGCAAGGATTCAATGGAACCGCACAAACGTCGGTGTAAGGTCGGAAGGAAACATATGGTATCGAAGCATGAACGAAATGACATTTGAATGCCAGGATATGTAAGTGTGCGGGATTCGAAGGGGGAAACTTGGGACTTAAGGGTCTCAACTATTGGCCTTTCAGGTTCTGGAGCTGGCCGGGAACGCTTCGAAAGATCTGAAAGTGAAGCGTATCACCCCCCGCCACTTGCAGCTGGCCATCCGAGGAGACGAGGAGCTGGATTCCCTCATCAAGGCCACCATCGCCGGCGGGGGTGAGAAGGCGACAACCGGCACCTCAACCCTCAGCCGCATTCTTTGGCCACGAGCTCCATTTATTTTATTTTTTTCTTTTAACAGGAGTGATCCCGCACATCCACAAATCTCTGATTGGAAAGAAGGGCCAGCAGAAGACTGTATAACGGGCAGCGTGAGGGGAAGTCCTCCAGAAGTTGCGCCATCTCAGGACGACGTCTGCATCACGCCCTTTTTTTTTTCTTGTCTTTAGTGTAGAACACCTGTAGGAGTCAAGTTTGGTTCCAGCTTGCATCTACTCACCTGGGGGTATTTTTTTTTTTTTTTTTAAAGTGGCTTCAAAGAAGCTCTTTTTTTTTTTGTTTTGTTTTTTTTCTTCGTTCCTGGTGCTCCAGTCCCTATTAATTTGCCCTTTTTTTTATGTATGCCTGTGTGTGTGTGGCATTCCCTTGTTAAAGTGGTGTTTTAATAAAGCCCTAAAGGGGCACGTGGGTCTGTCTCAGCTTCCTAAAAATGTTGCATGATCTCATGATTTGTGGCCAGTGCGTTTGAGCCTATAGTTCACGTTTGAGAGTTTGACCCACAATGGTTGGCAGTCCAAAGAAATGAACAATCAGACCGTGAGAATTTTATAATTGAAATGAAGCAATTTGGGGTGATTGAGTGGTTAGCGCCTCAACCTCACAGTGTAGGGGTGCGGTGTTCGATTCCGGCTCCGGCCTCCCTTTGTGAAGTTTGCATGCTCTCCCCGTGCCTGTGTGGGTTTTCTCTGGGTTTCCTCCCCCATTCCAAAAACATATACGGTAGGTTTTGTGATCAGTCTACATTGTCCTGAGGTGTAAGTGCGAGTGCAAATGGTTGATTGTCTTTGTGTGCCCTGCGATGGGCTGGCGACCGCCCAAAGACAGCTGGGATAGGGTCGGGGATGTGCCGAGACCCTCATGAGGGAGAAGTGGATCAGAAAATGGATGGATGGGGCAATTTGACCGACAATATTGCATCTCAAAAATGTTAACCTGTTGAATGTGAAAATACTGTTTTGCAATCAACAGACTGGAAAGTTTTTGACATTACGACACAACATTGCTTACCGCTTCCAATGCATATGACGGCAAAGTATTGTGTTCAGGTGTCGCAGTGACCGACTGTACATAGACATCTTTACGTACCTGCAGCTGTTGGGAAAGCGCTTAACATTTAAAAAAACTCATAAAACGACAAAACAGTCATGATTCCTCCATACATCTTGCAGGAAGTGGTTATAGATGAAAGTATATGTTTATTAAGATTAAGAATTCATTCCAAAAATCCTAGCGCTATTTTATTTTCCAAAAAAATTTTAAAGGGGTTAATTTGACTGGCACTGTTTGGTCCTCCAAAAATGTCAGCGTTAAAAATAAAGTTGAAGAACGTCAGGCTTGGGCGACTCGCAAGTGTGAAAATTCTCCGTTAGGTGGCACTAGTTCACCAACACGTGAAATATTTCCCAAATCAATGAAGCACAAGTGGAGCAAAACAGCTTGGGTGATAAAAAGTCCGATCAGAATTCTGATGTATGTTTTCAAGAAAAATGTGTAAAATGTGAGGGGAAAACCCCCCAATCATACTATAGTTTCAAGATTAAACTAGATCACATGAGAACAAAGGTAAACCTTTGCAAAAAAAAAAAAGCATAATTGAGAATCAAGTACAGTACTACTTTTCCCAGCATAAAGACGAGTCTTAGTTTCCACATTAATATCCTAATATCACGATTTTGATTGATTGTATATTATTGCCCTGCAAAAATGTCACATTTTTGATGTCATATGCCAAATTATCAGTATCATTACGAATATGATATGATCTGTATTTTTGGTTCAGTTTCTCGTGTTTTCTGGAGGAAAAAAAGAAAAAAGCCATTATTTTAGGAATGTTACAATAATACAAAAACAAAGTCATATTTTTGAAAACCCAAGTCAATATTTACAAAATCCAAATACTGCCAAGAAATGGTGTAATTTCATGAAAACGAGTCACACATATTTGGGGGATTCAAATGAAGATTCAAGAATTTCTCCAGAACAAAGTCCTGTATCCCCAAGAAAAAGAAGTATCTTTTCCGGATGAAAGTTATCATTCGTGTGAGACGAAATGTCGTGTATTATCAATATTGAAGTTGTAATATTATAAGACTATTGATAGATTCCACAGGAAAATGAATCGTTTCGAAAATAAAAAGTCTTCAATTGTATTTATCTTTTAGCCGCAGAAACACGAGTCAACCAATGGCACATGTAAGACTCGGTCGAGCTGAGTTTTTATTGGGGGTGGGGCGGTTGACCCAGACTCGTTTTTGTTGTCCAGTTCAAGTTCGTTCAATGGCATCACGGTGGGACGCTCGCAGCCAACTTCACAACAAGCGCGACGTTAGTAGATGCTGAACCAAGTCTGCTTAGCTTGACGCTAACACACAATGAGAACCGCCATTGACAAGCTAACAAAAGTAGCATCGGCGTGCTGCTAATTGAAAACACCGCAATCCCCAAAAGGGCTTGGAGCAACACATGAAGACAGACCATACAACAACGGTCACATATATGTATTCTTTATCCCGTGTGAAAAACAATCAAAATTTCAGCAGTTTTGAGGCGATGGTCTTTTTTGGTGTCTGTGTCGAATGTATGATACTGCCCCCTCGTGGCCAAGACCTACACGCGACGACCACGCGTTTATTAAAAAAATAGCGATTGTTCTTAAAAAGCAGGCTTTACAGATTTTTGTTGCTGTTTTTTTTTTGGCGCGCTGAAACTAAGTTATAGCATCTGGAATACTTCAGTGGGGAAAGCCGATGACAGATATGACCATTTTTTGTGTGATGAATCGTACGTTAAGGCACTGCACTGCTTTCGAGTGTCCATTTGTGCACTGGGCGCATTAAACAAAACACGAAGCAGCCCAGTCTTTCCGCCATGAAGGTCAATTAGGAAGACATGTGGTCTGCGTGTGTTTGGTTGGGGGTCTTTTTCATTTGGTTCTAATTCAAGCAGAGGAAGTGAAGTACTTAGCTCCAGGCCGGACTTTCTTGATGTTCTCTGGAAGCTATTAGGCCGCATGTGGCCTCGCCACTGGGGAGACGACACACATCCGGGCCTAGTGACAAATCCCCCCCCCCCTTTTTTTTTTTTTGCACTCGATTCTACCCGCGATCTTCAAATGTAAATCTCAAATTTACTAAAAGAAGGGAAACGCCATGAATCTGTTCTAGTCGACAGCAAACGAGGAAAATAGCGCTCCGTAATATTGTACTTTATACAAACATAATGGAACAAGAAAACGCAGTCGGTTACTGGTCTTCTTACTGTTTTTCATTGGATTGTTATGGCCTGACAATGTTTTCCACACGAAGTCGACTATAATTATGACTTTTCTACTGTTAGCGATAAACTACGTCCAGCGGAAAAATATGTTGTTGCCGAATCGTACTGTTTTTGTTTTCTAGTTTGGGCCTGGAAGTGTATGTGTGTGTGTGTGTGTGTGTGTGTGTGTGTGTGTGTGTTATTAGAAATATTTCTCCAGAGATTAGGGCTGTACTTTACTTTTTTCTTCCCAGATGATGTCATTTTTGTTTGGTCCGTAATGGCCGACTGAGGCCAACCTACTGTAGATATTCCAAAGTTTCCTGGATTTTGTTTTTTCTTTGCCCTCCAGCGAGACGCCTGACAACTCCAGTGTTTTCTTTTCCCCCCCCCGGATTTCTTTCTTTTTTTTTCCTTCCAGCTTCCTTGTTCTCGTTCCGACTCGGGACTATGCGGCAACAGGTGTTTGGGAGCAGCTGAATGAGGGCCTGCATTCTCGACTCTTCTCGTCGCCCATCACACATGGCCGACTTATCAGAACGGACACAATGAACGCGGCGACCACACTGGGCGCGCCTGTAATCACCGTCAGGGGATGAGATTCAGAGATCCGCTTTCAGCGCCTCGGTCTGCCATTCTCCTCCATCTCCTTTCCTGTCGTACTTTGGCATTGTCTGCGTGTGTGTGTGTGTGTGTGTGTGTGTGTGTGTGTGTGTGTGCTCTCACACAGTCTTTGTGGGCTGGCAGGGTCACGGTTCGCCGGGCCGCCTAGATCCATCAAGAGGAACAAAGCAGGGGTGGGGCGCAGCGGGGAAGAAACAGTGCCAAACCGCCCGAAATCAAAGACCGCGTTCAAGATTGTGATCGCCTCCAGAAAGTTGGACTCTATTTGGGGGGGCTTAGAAAAGGGTTAAAAACAAGGATCTGATCCAGCAATGCCTCTGAGCCTCACAAAGTCTGCTTGCTTTTGTTCATGACATACCTTGATTTGATTTTAGCTCGCCTAATTTGTGTGCCACCTACAATTCCACTCGGGGAAGCCAACAGGGTACAAATGCGAGCCCAAAGCATATTTGAAGTGGCTTGATTTTTTATTTTCTTTTGTAGCTCTGTGTAAATTTGACGGACAATGGCGGTATGGTTCAAAGGGGGCGCTTTGGTGGTCATAGTTTGGCTTTTGCTTCGCCATGGTGACTGAAAATATAAACAATTGACTTCCCAGAACTATGCTTGGCAAACTTTGCTTACTATGAAAATTCAGAAAAATGTTGTGATGTGTATTTTTGGGAGAAAAGTAGCACTCTGTAAGTTTGTATTGTGGAGAAACAGACAGTCATTACAAAAGCAAGCGGCATCAATGGAATGATCCTTCTGGTTCGCCGCTTTGGCCGCCAGGGGGCAGTAGGACACAGACTCGCCTCCTCTCAGCTTGTCCAAGCTCTTCAAAGAGGATGAAGAATATGTGAGTACTGTTCCATTGTCTGTCTGCACCCGTTGCCATTGGTACGCACGCAGGAAATCCCCAGCGTACGGCTTTGCTTCTCTCTGGGCTAAAAAAAGGCCACAGCATACAGCTTCAACAATCATCATGAATACTTGCATCAGAAGAGTTGCCGTGCTTGAGTTGCTCCGTAACAAGACGGCCATGTTGGCACGGGCGACTTTCCCATCAAAAGCAAATGCACGAACATTGAACGCAAGTTGTATCTTGCTCATTTCTTGTTTTCATGAGATTGACATTTTTGGCCAACACCAAAGCGTGCGCTATATTGACCATTTTGGGGGTGGGGGTGGGGGGGGGGAGAAAAAAAACCCGCCTGTTTAGAGGCTTTCATCTGCAACCTTCATCTGAAACTACATAAATCAGAATTAAGATGATAAATTTGATACATTTATTAAATATAGTAAGACATGAGAATTACATTGATAAATGTATTAAATGTAGTAATGACATGCAATATCCATTATGAATGCGAGAAAATCGACATATAAATGTGCTAGAACGTGTATGTATGTACAAACCGAAAGTTGTAAAAATAGCAACTTAAAGTATAGCACGCATCAGGGTAAAAGCATTTGTGGATATGCAGACTTTTTCCTTTTCTTTTCTGATTGAAAAATGATCAATTGATATATTATTACATAACAAGGGGCAGGACTAGATAAGATTTTACTTCTTCCTACTCCTTTGAACATATCATTGTGCTGTATGATGACTGTTTTCTTTTCCTTTCTTACAATTGTACTTACCTTCACTTTCTGTCAATTTATTACTGTACTGTATATTTTTACATGTTCAATCAACAATCTGTGAAAGCTTCCTTTGCAGTAGCTTACAGCATTGTACGCAAGCATCCACGGCTTGTACCCGCATCCTTGGTCTTTCCTTGATATTTTGACCCATCTAGTTTAGCGCCACCGAGGCACGCAGCTCGAAAGGGGTGTGTGTGGGGGGGTGTCTTATCGACTTTATAGCTGTGTTAATGTTGTAACGAGAAGCAGAGTGCAATGGTTGCTCTGTCATTGGAAAGGTGCGACCATTCTCTTCTTGATTATGACAAAAGCCCATTTTTGAAATATGGCTCACTCACTGTGACTCCTCATTTGTCTTCGGTCCAAATGTGGTCAATTGCATTCAATTCATAGATATATATACACACCACCGGAAGCCCTTTTATAATATGAATGATAAGAAATAATGAATTTCATACACCCACAAACACAAGCAAGAAGTATATCGACTATGTTGATGTTCAAATATTTTTTTTCAGGGGCGTCCAACTCCCCACCCTGAAGGCGACTTCCACCTGCTTTCGTGTGAATGAGCTTGATTTGAAGGAGGAAGGGCAGACGGCTCCTCATCCTCAATTTAGCTTTAATGACTTCCTTGAAGTGCTTTTCTGACTTAGTGGGAAAGGGGCGGGGGTAGGGGGGCTTTCTCCTTAGCCTTGGCCTTGTGCCAGAGTGACAATCAAAAGTCTCTTCTGTAGATGAGTTCAAAGGTCCCCGCCAACTCCCTTTTTCCTTCTTTTTTCTTTAACCTGAGAAAACAGGATGATGTCCCGCTGGCCTGACGGGACGACGCCCGTTCGGACCACTGGGACCCCTGCCCGCCTCCAACGCAAGAATGCTCCATTCTCTCACCTCATTAATGACTGTGTCACCTCCTTGTCAGAGAGTCGATTCATCGGTGAGTTTTGGCAGTCATTAGTCTGAATGACGTGAAGTGGCCTGATGAAGAAAGAGACCATGACACAATTGTGACATAACACTGGAATTACCTTAAATTGGATGCTCACGATCACGACCTCCCGCGCCGTCCCGAATTGGCGAGCCGCTGCCTCGGTATTTTCGTTTCCTTGCAGGGGGACAGATCGCCGTCACTCGTACTGACCGGCCAAGACTTGCCAGAAATTCCCGCAGCTCCTTCCGCGTTGCTCTTGGCAGCCTCCCTGAGCTTTTTCTCCATTTTGGAGGGCGGCCCAGCTCTCAGTCATGTCATCGTTGCGCCAGATTTCCTCCACTTGGTGCCGACTGAATTCGGCGCGTTCCGTCCTTTTCCGAATGACACCTTGGAGCAAAATCTCTTTGGAGTTGGACAAGCTCAGCGCAGACCTCTGCTTGCGATACGATTGTCAGAAAAAGCCTACTAGAACATCTCCCAATTTGTGTGTGGCCAGGCACTTGAAATGGCGGCAGGTATGTGCTGATTTATTACAGTAAACATGAGCTTGAACGTGATTGCTTAGTTACGAGTCAGTGGAATTAGTATGTATGTGATCGTGTGTATTTTATATCCACAAACCAGCCGTTCCAACAGAGGCGTTCAGAGATCGACAGTGACTATGCAGCTCCGACGGACATTTTCGACATACAGAAAGAAGCGTGGGGATGGACCAACTGAGATGCGGGTAGGGGAAAGAAAAAAAAACAAAACACTGGACCCTTTCCAAGGGTTCTTCTCGGCCCCAAATGCACTTGTATAGAAACAGCTTCACTATTATGTTTCAGGGAGTTTTCACAGCTGGGACTTTGTGTCAGCCCTGATGCTAACTTGGCAGGTTTACTATTTCAACCCCCCCCCCCCCAACAAGGCTTTCAGAAGTGAGACTGCTGTGATTGGATGGCCCTCGAGACGGTTTGGAACCAAGATTCCATCTCCCCGAGAACCACAGGACAAAACAAAACGTTCAGTGTGCAACACATTGACGGTCAAAACACCCCCCCCCCCAATAAAAAAATCTATCCACAAGTTGCTCATCTCATCTGTGCACCATACAGAAGATTTATTGTATGTCCTCAAAATACACAAGAAACCAAGACAAAGCCCCCCCCCCCCCCCCCTCCCCCCCCCCCCCGGCCCCTCCACGTGCTGCCGCCATCCACTTACAAAAGAAAAACAAAAGACATTTTGTCCTTCTACGCTGAGCTTTGGAGGCCACGGCTGTCAGTCAAAGAAAAATAAATATGGCGGTCATCATACACACCCGCAACAGCATCGATCAGCCAGTCGACACGCTTGCGTTTGCCGCCAAGCGAGATAGGAGCACGGGAAGCGGCCGTTGGGCCCAAGTAGCCCGGCTTGCACTCGACTTGGAATGCTTTTCAAGTTGCTGGCGTGGTTTCTTTCCGCCGCTGAGCAGCTCGTCAGTCCCGGATTTTGGTGCACCCCAAAAGAAACGCGAGCCTGTACACGACTCACCCAAAGTCGGGGTTTTTGCGCTTTGGGGTGAAATTTCAGGACGGGGAACGACTGCGAAAAGGAAAACGAAGCCGGACCTCGCAAGCGTTTTCTTGATGTCAACGCAGACTTTGAAGACAAGCTCGAGCATCGCGCGACACCTGCCGGGCACGGCATTTTGTGGTCGGATTCCGCCCGCTGCCAAGTGCTCCAACAAAGGCCTTGCCTTTCTTTTGCGACACACGCGCAGGCACGGGCAAATTGAACTTCAATAAATAAGACGCCGCGCGGCCGTGTCGACCGCGCGCTTCCAGACGGACGTGCGTGGAAACTCTCGGCATGCGCACATTCATTCAGGGCAAAACTCCGCATTTCGGGGAGGCTCCCAGGGGCTATCGGATGGCTCGATAAGCCCCGCCCCTTCTCTTCACTTTGGACACCGCATCCGGTACGACCCCAAAGCACAACACGGAGCTGGACCGACACGTCCAGAGAGGAGGCTGCCGGCCGCTCGGAACTTCAGGACAGTCCGGAGGTGTCCAGGTAACTCTGGAGCTTCCTGACTGTGCTTCTGTCCAAGGAGCACAGGTCAAAGTCAAAAGTGGTGTTTGTGATGTGGAAGTGGCCCGTCTCTTCGATGAGGTTGACAATCTGGAACAAGACAGGCAACGGAGACTGAGCAAAGAGGCCACTTTGCCCGCCCAGCCATTGCAGAGAGGTTGGAGCGGGCGTGCTGTGCCGTGCCATGCCATGCCGCGGCGCCACGCCTTCCGGGCGGCGTCCGGCATTCCCGCCACGGGCGCGCGCCGCCCGACACGCTGACAAACATCTCTGCTTTCCAACACGGGGCCCGCCCCGGACCGGCAAAGGGGAAGCTTTTCCGAGCGGAATAGGCCCGGCGTCGAACGTTTGTTTACCTGTTGCAGGATGTGACCTTCCCTCAAGGTCATCAGCCTTTTGTGCAGCTCCACCAGCTCGTCCAGGTAGGCCTGCAAGGCGGACAGCGGCACACCCAGTCACTCTCGCCTTGCCGGGTAGGGCGAGGACCAACGCGGCGACAATCACAAACACAAACAGCGCACCTTGTCACAATCGAGATTTTTGCTTCTGTCCTGCTTGCTGGGACTCTTGACATCCAGCACCTGGCGGAGGCAAGAGCAAACGCGCACAAAGGGGTCAAAAACAAAGTGAAGCACGAGTCAAGTCTTTCAAGGTTTAAGCCCAGCGAGCCGATTTACTGACTGCTGAATCTTTGACCACCCGCAAATTTTGTGAACCCTTTCGGCGCCGCCCGTAACTGGCGTCCGTGAGCGAAAAGTAGCTGCTGCTCCTCCTTGGTCA